GAAGTGAAAGGGGAAAATAATTTATTATCAAGACGGGTTAACCCACAGGAAACAACAGTATTTGGAAACACCTGATACGCGGAAATGGATACATTAGTCTTCGAGATAAAAACGTGGGACGATCAGTTACTTCTCAGCAGTTAAATTCGAATTTTGAGGCGTGTAAGGTATAAGAGACGCAGGAATATTCTTTTAGCTCCTTTCCCCGCTGTGTCACTGAACTTTTAGTCTTTCGAACAACAACCTGTGTAATTGCTTTGTTTTGTTATGTAAATGAGGAAATGAAATGGTTGCATTCTTTTAAAATTTTTATGTCTTTTTTGTTTAAAATAAGAGGACATGCCAGATCTTACATATTTCTGTGCTGACATATACAGGAAACGATTCTGGTTAAAACTTTCATTTGTACAAGATAAGTAAATCTATCGTTTCCTTCTGAAATTTCGTCTCTTATTTTTTTTTTGTTTTTGTATTTTGCATTTATTATGACCGTTGTTAACCTTTATTTTTAATTTGATAATGAAACATCCATTTTCTCTTCTTTCCTTTATCAGCTTCGCGGTTTTCGTTGAAAAAGTTGAATTAATAAATGCAAGTCTATAACCGCATTATCACGCTTTTAGTTGGTTTATATGCAAATTTTAGAACATTTGGTGACTTGAGATCTTTTTTTCAAGCAAAGCATGAAATTTGTAGAGTTCCAGTATAAGGAAATTTGAAGAGAACTTAGTAAAAGGGTAGAAACAGATAAGGCCTCAGGTTCGGATCCTACCTCATGGATAAGCGACGGATATTTTAACACAATTCATATTCCATATAATTCAGGATTTTTAATACCATCACATGTTTATGCAGAATATTTTTAGAGCTAGGAATCTGAAGGACAATCTAAATTTTAATATAAAGATGAAGCAGAACATTGCAAGGAATTATTTCATGTTTCCAAGCACACGTTAAAAAAGATGGATGGATTTCGGATCCTCTCAAGGTCAAAGAAAATGACTCAAGACAAAAAAGGCAAAGATTAAAGAAGGAACAGCTCTCTAGATCAAAAAGCCAATGGAGAATTAAGCGATGCAATTTGTGTTGTTTACATCTTTTCTGAAAATTGTTTTAATCTTATTTACATTAATGAAACATAAACCTTGTTGAATTCCAGTAACCTTCATAAAAATTTGCTTATGTAGGCTAATTACGTGGGCTCGATTTTTGGATGGTAGACATTTTGCAGTACAAATGGCTGCAAAGTATCTACTTTTGTTTCGTCGGATTTCCCGGATGCACTTTATCAAAAGTTGAAATCAGTTTCCTGAAGGCGGAAATTGTAACAGATGTAAGGGAAGGTGATAAATTAGTGTATACTACTTAAAAAGGCTTACAAGAGGTTCTCGCCTGCGCAAAACATTTTGGAAGTAAGAGAAGATAGTGAAAATTGTGCTTTTGCGAAACAGAAAATAATTAGATGTGGAGGAGCGTTTAAGATCATTGAAATTTACTGAGAACTGAAATAGTTTCATTTCTGATTGAACTTTCAATTCTGAATGTTCTGATGGGAATTGTTGTAAATTTGTAATCTCAACTAGGTATCTCATTGATTTATCATTGACTACTGAAGAAACGATGAAATGACTTTCTGAGATTTTCGAGGTTCAAACCATTTGCGTTTGAATAACGAACGAGTTACAATGCACAAAATTATCTTTTTTCTGTAAAATGTAAACATATTCGATATTCGTATATAAACTAACCAGATCACTTCTACCAAAAAATACTGGAAAGCAGTAATAGATAGCCCGATGGGTAAATATTGGTGATGATCTGTTTTCTGCAGTACTTTCATCCATTATTACTATAAACAAAAACTTCGCTTCCAATCATCATCCTATCACATTTCATCTCATTTCTGTTATTTAAAGACAAAATTTTTGCTTGTTATAGCAGTTTAATCAGCTATCACATCTTTTTTCTGAGAAGTGTTTGACGATTTAGTTGCTATTTTACTGTAAATGCAATGTAAGCTTAAATTCAATATCTTAACAATTCCTAAGCAGGACAGAATTAATTTTCAGCTTCTGTATTCAATTTTTGTTTCATTAATCAATGTATCGTCATCTAGTAAGTAATATTTCGGAGAAGTAAAATAACAAATAAAATATATATGAGTATTTCTAAGAGTATTTGAATTGAATCGTGATTAATCTAGTAGAATTCTTTCACATTCTTGTCGTACTGTTAATTACACGGACGGTTCTTTTTTAATTCGTTCAAAAATGAAATTATCAGTTGTTACAATTAGCTGTAATGTACATTAAATATATAAATCAATCATACCTATAACTTATTGGAGTATGGAGCGGTTAACCTTTCTATGCTGTGGCAGTATAAGCCAACAGCACAGAGACTGTAGCACTGTTGTAGATGCATGGTGTCTGTTTATGGTGTGTCTAAAGGGTATGTGTGCAAGTGGTTCGGTCCATTCGACCTCAGCTGTTGCTCGGTCACTCACTCTCATCTGTTTCAGCTGTGCTGTAATCAATTGTCCTTTCCTTCTAATAGTCACTCCATTTCATTGTCATCATTTCCGCCTTTATATACTTTGATTTTAATGAGGCGAGTGATTAACTTCTCTTTCTAAAATTCCATTGATTTTTCTAAATTTCAAAATTCTTAATTTTTTGAAAAAAAAAGGTTTGGTGAAAGTAAGCATAAAAGATTTACAAATAATATGGAATATATTGAAATTTTTATACAGCAGTGTTTTTTTTGGCTATCTTGACTTTCTTATCTGTGATATTGCTACTGTTATTTTTTTTATTAATTTGCCTCTTTTTTTGTTAATTTAAATTTATTTCCTTATTGATTTTATTATTAATTTAATTTAATTTAATTATTGATTTATTAATTCCATAGCAGAAAATTTTAAGAAAAAAAAAACAAACTTTCTTTGGCTGTGGTAGTCAAGTACTGAAAATGTAAATTAGTGAAGTCATTGCAGAATGTGCAAGATACCAATACAAGATAATGCAGGAAATTGGCAAACATTGATTTGTTTGCAGTAGGTTATGTTTTTTTTTCTTTGTAAGCAAAGGTAATTATATAATACAAATGGTACAAGTCGCATCATAAGCTAATCTTTAAAAAAGTTTAATTCAATTGAGAAGGATAGTTTGCAGTAAGAGCCATTTGCAACATATTCTTATCTATGCAGTTTTTCTTTTTTCGTTTCATAATTTGCCTTATGATCAAAATTTCAATCCTTCAAATTTTTCTTCCTAATGAATTTTGTTTTTTTTAACTTTTCCTAATCTTTCTGCTTAGCTTTATAAAAAAAATACTTGACGAACCAATGTGTTTATAAAAAGAATGAATATTATATTGTTTATTCATAGGGTAATTGAAATTATATTCGTCGAATATTTTATGAATATTCAATGTTCGATTTTCTTGTGACTTCTTGGTAACACGTGTATAACAAATAATAGAGGGAAACTTTTACAAGCCAACAAGTAATTTTAATTCAAAATTATGAAGGTTAAGTTGTGATTAATGATATAATGAAAGCATTAATTAATTACAAAGCAGTTTTTGCCTTCTCTTTATAGCGTATTTGGGACATAAAATGGATATAGATGATAATATGGATATGATCAACATTTAGCAAAAATTTATGTGAAATAATGAAGAAGATAAGAAGAAGGTGTTTCTTAATGGTAACACTTTTGATAAACTGTCTCCTTGTTCCGAAAAGCAAAAATGCCGCACGCATAGATATAGTTGCGATTTGATTGCGCTGAAAATCAATTAATGTTAGGGAAAGATTGGCGATCTTTACCCTTTTGCAAGTAAAAACTAATTTCACTGAAATTTATTGCAAAGTTTCTTCAACTTCAGCATTCCCTCCACTCGAAATTTTTTATTTCGGGTGTGATCCTAAAAATTTTATTTTTTGCGCATTTTAATATTATTTCTTTTCTGCTTGCTAAAATGAGAGAAAAAGTATGTTAACTGTATGTAAAAAAAATTTCGCGCTATATGGCCTACTATGTAAATTTAGGGAGAGAGAGAGAGATTTGCTTAGAGATTTTCCGGTCAATTTAAATTTTCAAAATTTAGACAAAATTTATTCCTAGTCAAACTTATTTAGATTACTGATTTCTTTCTCGAAATGTATTGATCCTTCTTCTATTACTACATCTTTTAACCCGATTTGTATCTGATATCTTCTGATATCTTGAAAACGATATACAGTCCTGTGAAACTCTAGCGAGTGTTATTTAAAAAAAAAAGAAACAAAAAATTAATCCCGTCAAAAGCTTAATTATAAAGCCATATCAGTATTGTTATCATTAATCCAGTAAAAATCTTACAAATTCTTTGGAAATTATTTTTTATATGCTTTCATGTGTAGGCAAAAGTTTCTGGCGGTTCTATTCATCACTTTGAAGCATATAATATTAAAATTTTTTAGCAATTTATAAAACTCAATAAAGTTGTAGAAAAATTGGCGATGTTACTCGAACTTCTGCTCATTGTAGCAGTAAGAACGAGTTTCACTTGGGGACAAGTACTCGTACCACCGTATACCAATCTGGCACTTGATAGGAAGATTGAAGCATCCTCAACATGTGGTGAGCTTAACGGACAGCCGATAAAAGAAATTTTTTGTCAGATAGCTGGTAAATTTTAATCTTCTTTCATCTTTTATTATCTGCTTAATTATTCATGAACAGATAACGTTAAGACTGGGAAAGTAATAGAATATGAAATATGGTTGGGACAAAAAGTAAATATGATTGATTATTCAATTATAGATTTCTATAGAAACTTATGCTTCCTAGGTTCAAGTCAATATACTCCTTTAAATCAATATTCGTACAGTACCGGTGAAGATGAGGTTTCCGTTTTTGCTGAACTTAAAATGGAAAAACAATCTTTTGTTCAGGTAAAACTTCCATGCCAAACAAAGGTTTTTTGAATAAGATTTCATACTAATAATTTTGATCAGTTATATAAGGAAATTAAACAAAGTAATGAAAATTTCGAAAATACTACTTCTCACATCATCAGTCCCTACAGTAATTAATATCCACTGATACTATATTGATGTTCATGCTCGTAATTTTTTAGAATCTAGGACAGTGGACCACAACTCTTAACATCATTTTTGTTTGCAGGGCGGACAAATGTGTGATTTTTGCCAATCAAATAGTTCATTTGCACATCCAGCAACAAATATGGTTGATGGGAGAGCAAGCTGGTGGCAGAGTCCACCATTAAGCCGTGGGATGCAGTACAATCAAATTAACATTAGTATTAATTTGGAACAGGCAAGTAGCTCGCGTTATTGATAAACCACTTGAAAAATAGCGAAGATACTGAAAATTGAGAAAAAGTGAGTTTTCTGATTAAAATCTGAACAGAAGACTTATGAATAATTTGCAATAATTTAAGGTGGTAATTAATCGGAGGAACATTTTACACATGAGGAATTTCTTTAGGAATTTCATGTGGCTTATGTATGGATCCAAATGGCAAATAGTCCTCGGCCAGGATCATGGGTGCTAGAAAGATCGATTGATGGTGGTAAAACTTATATGCCTTGGCAGTATTTTGCTGAAACGCCTGCTGAATGCGATCGGGTCATCTAATTTTTAATTCATGTTATGATTAGTCGCTTTTTCTCACATACTATCTTTTCTAAATAGCATTATGGTGAATTGCACAGATTTATATTTTTCGAGCGAAATCCAAAAAGTTTTAATTTCAGTTATTCGGACGTCATACGCTCCAACCAATTTTAGAAGATGATACAGTCATATGCACCCATGAATTCTCTGGAATTCACCCAATGGAGAATGCGGAGGCAAAATTTTTTTAAGCTTAACTAGAAATATTTTACAACTAAATTTTTGCATTTCATGAATATTTAAATAAATTTTAACTAAATTTTTGAACTTCATGATTTAGCAAATTCAGTGAAAAATTCTTTCTCCAAAAAAGTAAGAATATTTCAGAATTTCTAGTAGTACCAATAGAAGGGAATAAAAAAGTGAAAAATCTTTTCTAGATAATGATAAATTTGCTTGAAAACCGTCCAGGAAAGCACAACTTTAGTCATTCTCAAGTTCTTCAAAACTTCACTCGTGCAACGAATGTACGACTTCGGCTTCTACGTACCAAAACGTTACATGGCCATCTGATGGATGTGAACCGACGTGATCCCACTGTCACACGACGAGTTAGTCTGTTTGTTGCTAAATATATTTCAAGTCAGAAATATAGACAGATTGAAGGAAAGAATGTTCATATAATGGCTTATTTGATATGATAAAAGAAATTTTAAACTTCTTGTGTTCGATAATACGGTAAGAGCGGAGGCTTAGTACAACCGTATAATAATTACTAATATTTTTAAATCTTAGTTTTAGAAAACAATCAAGCATAACTAAAGATGATATAGCCGAATAGGCCATTCTTATGAATTCTGAGAAATAAATAGAAATGATCCCATAAAAGACGTAAAGAATTTTGCTAATGTTTTGAAGCACATTGCAGTATTTCTATGCGATTAAAGAAATCTTCATGGGAGGCCGATGTGTTTGTAATGGACATGCGGACACTTGTGATATTCTTGATGTTCGACGTTCCAATATACTCCTTTGCAGGTATATGTCATTTGTGGACTCCTCAATTTCTTCGCTTTTTCTCATATTGACTTTAAATTATCGAGCTGAAATGAAACGTTTTAACTCCATATAAAAACTCAAAGTAAGAAAAAGAAGCTTAAATGAAAAAAAGAAAATAAAAGTTTGGAAAATGGCTATCATATTTAAAAAGCAAAAAATTTTTCTAATTCTTATTTCAAATGTTCCTCTGGAGGAAGAGAAAAAGAGGCTTATGGATGTTCTTTGATCCTTTATTATCAAGTGGTTGTTTTTCATAATCTACTACTACTCATATTATGTAACTGCAGGTGTGAACATAATACTTGTGGAGATCATTGTGAATACTGTTGTCCAGGATTTGAACAAAAAATGTGGCAAAGAAGCAAGGAGGGCGCTGAATTTGTTTGTGAACGTAATTCTTTCAAACTTTTTCATTGCTAGAGTCTGAGCAAATGCTTAATAGTCGCATCATTGACTCCAGCTGAAGTTATCCGCCTCAAAACACTTCGTGGTTTACCTCATAAATGATATGTATTTGAAACTTATTTGCTCGCGGACTTCTTAAACTATTGGCTTGAATTTATTCAACGGAAAATAATAATGACAATATAGAGATGTTCAATTATTTATAATTCCAATAACTACAGCGTGTAACTGTCATGGACATAGCAAGGAATGTGTATATGAAAAAGAGCTTGACAGAATGCATTCAAGCTTAGATATTCATGGAAATTACGATGGAGGCGGCCGTTGTCTAAACTGCAAAGTTTGTCATTTCATCTTTCCTGTTTTTTTTTTTTTTGTTTTTGAATTCCTACGTAATACTTTCAATCCTCATAGTGACAAATCAATTAGTTTTAAGGTTTTTTTTCGATCAAAATTACAGGACAATACAGAAGGAATAAACTGTAATAAATGCATCTTTGGATACTATCGGCCACGAACAAAATGGTGGAATGAAACAGATGTATGTCAACGTAAGTTCCGTTTGCTTTTTGAAACTAACTAAAATTTTGCATTTATCAAAAATTTGTCCAGACATTTAATAAGATCCTAACGGTATTCGAATGCTTCATAATAGGTGGAAATGCACACGGACAATGTCATAAGATACCTCATTGATCGTATGAAAAATATGACTGATATGTTCCTTGAACAGGTTGGATGCATTAACATTTCGGGAATCAAGCATTTGTTGTTTGCGGAGTAATGTTTCTAAATTTAGCATGTTTTTCGGTTGTAAAATGTAGCTCGACCCATTTTGCTGTTATCATTAATAACCTAGGCAGCTCATAATCTGTCATGAAAATATCCAATACGGAGAACACTAGTAGTGCAGCCTTTAGACTGGATTTTGTGAAAGATATTCTTCCTTGCTCAATTGTTTTAACTGCTTGAGGTATTGGCTTAAAAATTATTAATTTCAATAACGTCTTAAAATTACTTTCTTTCGCTACCAAAAAAGTGGAAAATCAAAGGGTCGAATTCCACATTGCAGCATGTGTATGCGATCCCGCAAAACATACAGGAGATTGTGAGGATGAAACAGGTCGTTGTATTTGTAAGCCTCAGTTTACCGGGGTGGATTGTGATAGATGCGCACCTGGTCACTATTCACCTCCAGAATGTAAACCTTGCGATTGTTCTATAAATGGCACCTTGGATGATACTTGTCTGGTACTATTCTCCATTGCTCTGTTTGAATTTTGTTGTTTACTTTTAACTACTATAATGACTAGCCTTTCAACAGGTGTAAAATAAATAATGTGTCGATTGACAAAAAATTTTAGATCTCTTACTTTTGGTTAATGAAAGTCAAAAATGGTGTAATGAAAGGATTCATTTTGATCCATTTAGAAACACCAAAAAATTTTCAGCCTGTCAGTGGACGTTGCCCATGTAAAAGTAATTATGGCGGAGAGCTGTGCCAGGTATGCGCACCAGGTTATACAAATCTCACAGCCGGCTGTATCTGTAAGTTGTTACTAAATGAAGAATCGGAAAAAATCTTGGATAATTGAATCAATTCATTAAATTTAAAATTTCTTGTTTTTGATCCATGTGACTGCTTTGTACAAATTATTCTATTTTTTAAAATGTCAGCTTGCAAATGTGATGAACTCGGATCGCTGCATAATAATTGTAATGAAAGCACAGCACAGTGTATGTGCAAAACGAATTTCGCTGGACTTACGTGCGACAGTTGCGCTGATGGATATTTCGGCGATTCTCTGTGTGAATGTAAGTTTTTTGATGCCAAAATTGGAAACATTGTTGATAAAGCATATTCTTTTGCGCTGACTAAATCACTTCAGATTGCGATTGTGATACAACCGGTACGGAGGACAGCATTTGTGACAAACAGACTGGTGCTTGCCTATGTAAATCTGGATTCTCTGGTTCTCGATGCGATGGGTGCAACCTGAACTTTTATGGCTATCCATACTGCAAAGGTTTTTCTAAACTCTGAAATTTTATGATATTTTATGTTGATTATTGAAACTAATTCAACTACTGTGATGAACTTTTGATATTTTAGAATGTGACTGCGACGAACATGGCTCGAAGTCAACAGAGTGTGATCGAAAAAATGGTGATTGCCGGTGTTATGCAAATTTCACCAGTAAAAATTGTGATCGTTGTGCTGCTGGATTTTATGATTTTCCAAACTGCAAACCATGTTCATGTCTGGCTATTGGATCTAAAGGAATGACTTGCGATAATAATGGACAGGTTGTCAACTTTTGCATAATGTTTTTTTATTAGGTTTGAATGTTTTGATGGCCAAGGAGGTACGCCTAATTTGTACGTACTTATTTTTTTCTACTATGTTATCAAATTTCACAAAGATTTTTTATTTTTAGTGTTACTGCAAACCAAATTTCCAAGGTGAAAAATGTGATCAGTGCAAAACGAATTTCTACAATTTTCCGATCTGTGAAGGTACATACATTTTATGCAACAGCTTATTTTTTAATATCAAAATGAGAAAGATAACTTATTATTTTATTAAGTCCATGTGTATTTTTTCCTGATATAATTGTTACCGTTGCAGAATGTAATTGTAATCCGAAAGGCGTAGTAGCTGGCTTTGCCGGTTGTGATAAGGTTGAACCGGGTGAATTATGTACCTGCAAAATGCATGTTACGGGTCGTATATGTGACCAGTGCAAACCGACCTACTGGGATTTGCAGTATCACCATGAAGATGGTTGTATACAATGTGACTGCAATTTAAATGGCACACTTTTGGGATTGAACGAATGCAGCACTGAGGGAGGACAGTGCAATTGTAAAAGAAATGTTGCTGGTCGTCGATGTGATAAATGTGCTGACGGATTTTTTCAACTCGAAATGTATAATCAGTTTGAATGTCAAGGTAGGTATTTGACTTAATACTCATTGATTTTTGTGTTCTGTACTCATTTTAGCTTTAATACACAACAGTTTGCAAACAGCTGAGAAAATGTTACCAGCGTGTTTACATTTTTTAAAAATTCTTATTAATTTGCAGCTTGCAATTGCGACGTCGGTGGTGCACTGGGAATTGGCTGCGATATGCAGACAGGAGAGTGTCGTTGCAGACCTCGAATCACTGGTCAGAAGTGTGACAGACCCATCGAAAATCATTACTTCCCAACACTATGGCACAATAAAGTGAGCATTTCCATAATTTGCTTTTTAGATTAGAATCGATCCTGTTCATTAGAATCTCTATTATCTTATCTTCTTAATGGTGTATTTGCTTTTCCGGAGAGTTACGCTTCGAAAGGAGCCTACGATTCAGTTAGTCGACTGTTCAAACTGATCCAGCAATCTTCAGTTTGCAATGATTCAGACGCTTATTCTTTATATAACATGAACGTTGTTAACCATTTTGTTTGGAATTTGTGTTCTATCACACTTTGACAGTGCAAATATCGCTAAACTACAAGTAATTTTATTCATTCATAGTATGAAGCAGAAGATGGCATATCAATGGAACAGAATCCCGTACGTTTTGCCATCGATAAAAACAAATTTCCAAATTATTCATGGAGAGGATATGTGGTATTCTCACCGATTCAAGAAGACATTTTGTTGGATATAACAGTTAGCAAAGCCAGTCTTTATCGTCTTCTTTTCCACTACATTAATCCAACCGATGTTCAAATTAATACGAGAGTTGTGGTGATGCCTCTTTTCACGCATACTCAAGGTGAGTTCTATTCACAACGCTGCATTTATTTATCTGATAAAGTTATCGCTTCTCTTGTTGCATCATTTCTGTTACAGATGTGGAGCAAAGATCCAGATTGAACCTTCCAGCAACATCTGAACCAACAACCGTAGCAGTTAATCCTAAACAACCATTTATCTTAAATCCTGGGAAATGGCGCATTAAGATTTCAACTAAACAGCGATTTTTTTTGGTAACAATATAACAAGAGTCCGGCAATGTTATGAATTTAGTTTTGTCTCCTCACTGGATATTTCAGGATTACGTCGTACTGCTACCCTCAGAATATTATGAAGGGACAGTGTTGAAGGAGCGTATTTTTGAACCATGTAAAGCATTTGATTCGCAAAATACAATATGTTTTGATTCGTTGTATCCACCACTCCCACTCGCATCACGAGCAGATGTCACTAAACATGGATTTATCATGGAAGAACAAAATGACAGTAGCACCGTACAAGTTGAAAAGGTTCAGTTGAGTAAAACCATTAATACATATACTTAGTATGCGTAAATTTGACAAGAAAATATCAAGTCTCTTAACCCTGTGTACTATAAGAGAGGATGAAAAACTCTTAAGCACTTTGAAATACATTTGACACTGGACAAATAATATAACTTGCAGATTCCAATAAAGAACTTGCCTGGTGATGCAGCATTTGTGCGAGCTGACAATGAAAATCGTAAAATTCGCATATCCTTGAAGGTCTTGACAAGATTTCATACTTTTTCAGTCTATTTAATTTTTTTATTAAGTCGGCTATTTACTTTACAAATTTTCCAGGTACCAGAGGATGATTATTATATCTTATTACTGGAATACTACAACGCGGACCTAAAAACAATTCCATTAACTTTGGAAGTAAGACAATACGATCAGCTTCTAATGAGGGGAATCATTACCCTCAAACACTGTCCATACTCGTCAGTTTTTTTGAGTTTCACTAACATAGTTTTTATTAGCTGAATATTAGGGGTACTGTAAGGCTTGGAGTATCTTCCGCGCCTAGATGACTATAGTTCTATTTCCCGCTGCATCTCTTCCATTCCACAGTTGCTTTTGCACAATTCTCGATTCAAATATCTTGCAAAGGAATTCACCACTCGCTTTTGATCTGCAGGCTTTTGATCTCAGATTATCCCGAAAAATTCTTTGATTGTTACGGAGAGGAAACGTTCTTTTAACTAACGGTCGTTTGATAGCTGATGCAAACCATAGATGACGATGATTTCATAAATAAAATATTTCAGGACATTTTGTCGCGATGTCGCATTGTCTGATGCAGGCGTTGCATTGATACATATGAAAGATGAAGACATAGAAATTACATTAACTATTGAACCAAAACATGAATTTGGTTTAGGTGCAGTTAATCTTATTAGGATGAAAGATTGGGATGTCAGCTATCTTCAACAAGTTAGTCGTCTAACTCATCAGCAGTATTTTACCTCTTAATTTTTCAAGCAGCAGCCTATCATTTTTTACTTGACATGTTATAGGTACCTGTATGTGTCCGTAAAAATGGACATTGTATAGGTCAGTGGTTCCCTCCTGTAGCCAACGGCATTCTGAACGAAGTTGAATTTCAAATGAATGCAAATAATTCAATCAGTGGTGAAAAGTTGCCATTTATTATTGCCAATCCGGAAGAAGTTCAAGTTATGGCGCTCGATGAAAACATGGTATGACATGTTAAATGTACAGTATGGAGAATGAAATGTATTGCTGTTTACTTTTAGATTTGGAGTTCTTGTATTCTTTCATCCTTATAGGGTACAGTAGAAGTATCTGGAATAGTGCCATCACATGGTCATTATGTTTTCATTGTACAGTACTTTAATCCGGACAATACATTGTTAACTGTTGATGTTACGCTCCAGAATGGACATCTTCATCATGGTATACTTCACTCCTTTATCTTGTATTTCGGAACCTTCTAATTTCATCACTTATTTTGTTCATTTTTAACAACGTTGCTTACAAGAAGATGTACTTTTTTGAGTTTGCATATAAGTAACATTTGTCATCGAAGAAATATAGTCCAGCATATCACATTTTCAGCAGAGATACCATTTTCCTACTGTCCAAGTATTATTGGTTGTCGGGCAGTAATTCGCGACAAAGAACGCCGAGATGTGATACAGTTTTTCATTGATGATAAGTATACTGCGTCATTTTATTTTAACGAAAGCCAAAAAGGACCACTATATATTGCAAGTTTTTCAAGCTTTATTTATTTGTATCCCGAGAAAATGATGTTTTTTGTTTAACATTTTTAAATGGACACATTGTTCGAGATCTAAGTAGTGTAGCTGCTCTAAAGATTACTCAAATCCTTATTTCATGTTGAAATTATAACATTCGTTTTTTTTTTCATATTTCTTTATTAATGCAATTTTATGCAGGATTCGATAACATCCTTGCCATTTCATTCATATAGTGATACATTACTGACCCCATTACCTGTTGATGTCTCAATGCAGTATATACAGGAATGCAGTTCGAATAACTTCAAAAATGAGTAAGCGCTGTTCTTGTGAATCACTAAAGATATATTTAGCAAAATTTAAAGCTAAGAGTATTTCGCGAAAATAATGTCTCCAAAAAAGTTTTTTTTTTCTTGAGAGTTATGGATGTAACCAGCTTCGCATTATTTTAGAATTTATGAAGACAATTTCTAAGGATAAAATCATAGTAATTCAATGTCCAATAATTAATTTAACCTTTATAGCCCGTCAAATGTAAGTGAATACTGTCGGCAGAAAGTATTCTCTTTAACTTCCGAATATAATATGGCAGCACTTCCGTGTGAATGTAGTTCTCAAGGCAGTACAAGTTTTATGTGCGAAGAATATGGTGGCGAGTGTCCCTGTCGACCAAACATAATAGGACGTCAATGTGACCGTTGCGCACCCGGCTATTACAGTTTCCCGGATTGCATTAGTTTGTTATTTCCTAATTTGCTTTTGTCCTTTGATCGAATTAAAATTTTTGGCTAGCAATATTCAATTTCAGAATGTAGGTGTCCAGATAATCACTTATGTGATGAGAACACTGGTCAATGTTTCTGTCCACCACATGTACAAGGGAAAAATTGCGATAGTTGCGTACCCTATGCCTTCGGTTATGATCCTCTGATTGGTTGTCAGCTATGTGGCTGTCAGCAAAATGGCTCAGAAGCCCGGCAACTTCAATGTGATCCAGATAATGGACAGTGCCTGTATGTTGTTATCTTTCTATCAGTCCCGTTATCATTTTTCTTTGAAAAAAAGTTCAAACACAATTCCAAAATACATGTCAACAATGAACCTTTTAAAATATGTGTCCATGATAATGAAAAGCATACTACAGGTGCAGAGTCAATGTTGGTGGCAGAAAGTGTGACAAGTGTTTGCCAGGTTTCTACGGCTTTCCACATTGTTACGAATGCGCATGCGAAATAAAGGGTACCACGGAAGAAATTTGTGAATCAACCAATGCTGCTTGTAAGTGCAAAGTAAGTTTTTTCACTCTAAAAGCATTTCGCTTGATTATCCAAATTGATTCACTAATGAAGTTATTTAACAGATATGTCAACAACCACATTGTTCCAGAAAAATGTAGTTGGTGAGAATTGCGATATTTGTCGGCCTGGTACTTTCGACTTACGTGCATCAAATTCTGATGGATGTGCGGAGTGTTTTTGCTTTGGTGCAACCGATCGTTGCCGTTCTTCATTTCTTCCCGTTACTTTTGTAATATTTCATCTCATTGTGTATAATATAATAAAAGTAACTTACTGATTTAAGAAAATTATTACTCCAGTAGTTCTTGATTTTTCAAAGGTTAACTTCGATGAAGAGGCGTGGAAAGTGTACCCAAATGATTCTGTGCTGCATTCGTATGATAAGGTGATATATAAAGCGACAACTGATGATAAAAACGATGTTTATTTTCTGGCCCCAATAGGATCAGGCCACGACTTCACTATCTCTTATGGTTTACAGGTAATGTGTATTGAGTAATGTATTGAACTGTATTAAATTTCCCTGAAAATTTTAATATCAATTAAAATTTTTGCGAAGTTGACATTTATTTTCAACCAAATTCATCCTTTCAGTTATCTTTCGTGATAGCATCGAATCCGCGAGATGGTGAAACCAAAATGAGCTCAGCACCTGATGTTCAATTGGTTGGAAATAACACAGTTCTCGATTTCTGGGCACGAGAACAACCAGCTAACCCACGAATACCATTTAGTGTTGAAATCAAACTTTTGCCTGTAAATTTTAGATGCCATGTCTGTGAAGTTGCAAATTGCGCTTTTATTTTGTTTCCTCGTCCATCTATGTCATATAATTTCACTGTATTGAATACGATCTGATCATAATGATTAGACTAATATTGATTTAGGAAAACTTCATGGAATCGACAGGGGAACCAACGACTCGTGACACTCTGATGATGGTATTGCATGATCTGGATGAGCTTAGGATTAAGGCTTGTTACTACACAAATTGCGAAGTGGCAGCAATTAGTGAATTACAGCTTGAAATAGCTAAAGATGATCAGACCACTGGTGATAGCTACACAGCTTCTTCTGTTGAAATATGTCAGTGTCCGCCACCTTATAGTGGACTTTCTTGTCAGGTACAAAATTTGATTCTTTCCAGAAGTGCATTTTGAATTATAATATATTTCTCAAACGAGGCTTTTAAAAAATTGGTGTGATATTGTTAAATTAATAAAAATTTTTAGCAATGTTCTCCTGGTTATTACCGCGTCAATAATGGTCGATATCTTGGTTCCTGTGTTCCTTGCAATTGTAATGGTCACTCTGGAAGCTGCGATCCAACAACTGGAATTTGTTTCGATTGTGAGCATGATACTTTTGGCGATCACTGCGAATTTTGTCGGGTGGGATTTTATGGTGATGCTACCAAAGGAGGACCCTATTCATGTTTGTCATGTGCTTGTCCATATGCTACTGACACGAATAACTTTGCAACAAGTTGTCAGGTTAATTTTCTCTATTATTTTCATCATTACTATTATTGTATTTGAGGAAAAGTTTCAGTAGTCATTAATGGTCTACAACAACATATAAGTTTATTTCTTCAATCACTCAGGCTTTTCATTTCCAAGGAAAACAGTCATCTGATTGCATTTTTACAATAAAATTCGTAAAACTGATGAAATATTACCGTTTAAAGGTCAGTGAAACTGGACTGTTAAAGTCATGCTTTTGTAAACAAGGATATACCTCTGACTACTGCGAACGATGCGATGTTGGTTATTATGGTCAGCCAACTGAAGTCGGTGGATCTTGCCATAAATGTGACTGCAATAATAATAATGACCTTAGTGTGGATGGTTCTTGTCATCCTATAACCGGTGATTGCTATCTTTGTTTAAATAATACCGATGGTGCACGATGCGAGCACTGCAAACCGTGGTTTTATGGTGATGCTGTGGAGGCTAAAAATTGTACAGGTAAGAAGTGATATTATTGCAACAATTTTTTCTCACATTATAACAAAATTTAATTGAAGAGAAAAACTGTGCTGATGGCTCACTAATTTTGTGCTGCTTGTTTATTTTATTTTTCTTTTTTTTCACAAACAGGAAGCACAACCATCGGTACTTACTCATTTCTGTTAGATTTCTCCACTATTTGGTTTAAAAATTTGGCTATTTGGTTTTAAAAAAAGTTGAACTGATGAGCTTTTTCCGAGATTTTCTTTTCTAAAGTTTTGCAGATTGTGCATGCAATCAGTGCGGTAGTTTATTATGTGACAACAAATCCGGAAGATGTGAATGCTTAGCGAATGTAGAAGGAGAAAAGTGTGATCGTTGTGTGGTAAATTCCACTTTTATTTAACTACTACTAATTTTAAGTACTTAAATATATAGCAAATGGGCAAATTTGAGAGAAACGGCAATTTTTTAAAATTATTCATAAATATTTATATTAAAATAATGGTTTTATTAGGCGAATGCATGGGGTTTCATGCGTTGTCACGGCTGTGAAATGTGTAACTGTGCATTGGCATCATCAAATCCGCAATGTGATGTTGAAACCGGACAATGTTCCTGTATGCCTGGAGCTGCTGGACAAATGTGCGAAATCTGTGAATACGGTTACTGGAATTATGGACCAACCGGATGCTCTAGTTTGTTTCAATATTGATTTTTATTATTTCTAATTTTTGCGTTTTCTAAGAAGAATTTGTTTTTCTCAACAAATTAAATGAAGCTAAACAATCGTGAATTCCTTGTTTAATGGTGATGCAAATGAAGAAAGCTTAGATTTATATTGCTTTCTGAAATATAACTTAATTGATGTTTGTCAATTAATAATGATTGATTGGAAATTGTGCTGATGACTTTTCACTGATAAAAATTTCAGAATGTGATTGTGAAGCAGATTTATCGATGGGAACAGTGTGTGATGTTAACACAGGACAGTGTCACTGTCAAGAAGGTGCTACCGGACCTCGATGCGATCAATGCGCTTCACAATATCTGCGAATACCAAATTTTGGATGCCGATGTGAGTTGCTTTAATCGTTATCTTTAGAAAAGATTGGTAAAGAATAGAAGAAAAGTTAGATATTTTCCGAAGTTAAAAATTTACTTCAGACACAATACTATTTTCTTAAAGTACTGTGTCTGAAATAAATTTTTTCTCATCCTCACTGGAAAAGTGCAAAAATAGAAAAAATCATACGGTTCACAAAATTATCATTTTAGTGTGTGATGAATGTGTTCACTCTGTGATGCATGATTTGGATAGATTAGCTGATACTGTTGATTTTGTTAATGAAACAATCAACAATATTTCAACAACTGCTCTTACGGGTACCCGTCTCAAACGCATTCGTAAGAAAATTGATGATGTGAAGGTATGTAAATTACTTTGTCCTTACATTATCATGATTTCAGAAATTTATTTCCTTATAGTATAATTATTAAGTCTTAACATGTGAATCGTTTATAGCCGATAGTTGTAAATCATATGGACTCAGCATCTGATATGGGTGTGGAAAGTTTGAGTAACGATATATTTGGTTCAACTTCTGATGTTTTCGGTATAGTTGTTCGTGCCAATCGATCCTTGGATACACTTAGTGCTATTGATGATACTATGAGTAATATTATCAACAGAACTAATATCGTAAGTTATTAACATTATTGTATGAAGCAGCAGGATGATTCTTCAGAAACTTTCTTTCCACTTACAACAAAGTTTTGGGAAAAAAATCTAATGAGATTACAGAATTGAAGATCGGATACAAGTTATGAATTGAGATGGTCAATTAATTTATATTCTTAGAGCACTAAACTTGATCATTGATTGAGAAAAATATCATATCGACTATAAATTTGTTCCGAAAGGCTATTATTCAAGATAAGCAGATAATATTAATGCCAGAAGAGTTAAACTATCGGAATGCTGGCAACTCTGCTGAGAAAGATTATACTAGTTTAATGAAGTTACTATGAGACACTCACTTATCATTAACGAAATTGATATCAATTTTTTTTCTTTGTTTCGTAAAAATGATCCCGCTATTGTTTGGATCCTCAATTTGGAACTTTGTGGGACGTTTTATTTCAATTCGGAAAATGATTTAATTACTTTTACATACTTAAAATGTGACTGCGCATCTTTTGTTTCACTTTTTTTGTGAATATATGAGATCCAATATCTTGTAATTTATATTGCAGTTTCCGGCAAATGTATTTGATCGTGTTGAAATGGCTGCATCAACTGTTGATTCTTTAAAAAATCTAGTCTTCTCACTTGGCAAAGATTCTAGTGCTATAGATCGTCAAAAATGGTTGATGGATTCAACCTCACTTTTGCAAAAAATTCGCGATACTGCGAACGAGTTGGTGTCTCCGAAATACTTTTTACTTTACTCTCAAAATTACATGTAATTTATTCATTTTCCAACAGGATTGAACCTATCTTTCACTGAAAATCTGATCTTAGCATATCTTGTCATTTTGTTTGTTCTCATTATCATTGAATGAAACGCTTCATTGCATGATCAGATGATATTGCTGTCAGTATTTATATCACAATAATGTGATATAAATACTGGCAGGAATATCATTTGATCAGGATGATCTTTTTTATCAAAAAAAATAATTTAGTGAAGAAGCAAGGAAACGAGTGGAAGATGAAAATGATGAGGTGCAAAAATTGTTAAAACGTATGAGAGAGCTAAAGGATGAAGAAAATATTATGCATGAAAAATATTTTAATATGAAAGATCAAATGAACGAATTAGTAAATAACATTACGGAATACCGCTCCTTTCTTTATGAAGTGGACAGTTCAGTTGAAAATACTCTTCAGGTCAGTTTCTTTTGTAAATATATGTTTCTGAAAATGCTTTCTCCTCGTGCTCGTTCTTGGTAACATCTTTCATTTCACTACCATATTATATTGTTTTATTCCAGCAAGTAAATAATTCAAATATACGATATATAAATTCGGTGCAAGCTGGCGTAAAAGCAGGTGAAGCGAAGATTAAAGAAACTCATACAATTATCAGCAGTCTCACAGCAATTTCCGAAACCTTCATAGAATCATTAAATAATCTAAGCAAAACGCTCCATGAAATAATGAGCAATGTTCAAGATGTGTTCAATCAGCTGAGTACCATGAAGGGCAGATATCATCATAGGCGCATACGCGACATTAATAAGGTTACTGTATCATTGTCTACTTTTTGTGGATTTAATTGAATTCAGTTTTCTAACAGCTAAATATTCGTGATTAGTACTAGTTTTTTCGAAAGCAACGCTTTTTAAAATAAATTAATTTCCTAAAAGTTATTTCAGGGCAGTGAAGTGTAAAGCATTGTTAGCGTAACTTACATTGCTATTATAGAATGAATATAGAAACAAGTCGAAAGAATTGGAAAATCAAGCATTGTTTTTATCTTCTTTGTTTGGTAGAACACGAACTGAAGCAAAGAATGCGGTAGCAGCTGTTAATGGATATAAAGAATTGATGAAGCATTTGAAAAAAGCGCGAAATATGACGAATCAGGCATCTCTAAATGCAGAACAAGCTAGAAAGTTCCATGAAGAAGGAGCGGTAATGGTTAAATATCTAGAAGAAGCACTTCTGTACATTTTATGATTGTGTTCATGTAGAAATCAAAGTCATACCTACCGTTGTTTTTGATATTTCAACAAATTTTCAAAATTTAATTTCCAGGTAGCATCAGCGAAAACACTTCGGGAACAATCAGCTGATTTGTTACGTACTGCTGTTGATTTAAAACAGTCAACTGTAAACAGTGTAGATAACTTGAAAGTTGTTTTCGTGGAAAAGGCATCAGAATTACAATCCCTTATCGAGAAGCAGAGAAGAATCCTTGAAAGCCTTCGTCCTAAATTCGATGACGGAGAAGTAGCATGTTTTTATGTAAAATAATTAAAAGAATGTGATAAGAAATATTCGTTTGCAAAAATTCATACCTTACCCATTTATTTTGCATTATTAGATGTATTTTCTGAAACATGTCAACCAGTAAATAGTTTCAGAATGCGAAACTAGAACACTCTCTAACTGCTTCGGAAGAGACAAGAACAAGAATTGATAATACCATTTTCTTATTTGATCGATTCAAGCCTGATTTGGAAGAAATGACTGGTCGTAGCAAGAAGTTTGTTGAGTCAATTTTAATCTCTGCTAATGATGTGGATACTGCTAGAGAGCAAATCTCAAAGGTGAATCAAGAACGTCATTGTCATATTTAATTGGCTTTCATGTAGAAAATGATTATGACCAGATGTAACATGTAAATTAGCTTTTTTAAAAGTTTGATTTAAGCTTGTAAATGAAAGTTCACCTGTCATGGAAGAGCTAGAAATGCAAAAGAAAGCTGCTTCAAATACTTCGGCAACGATAGAACACTGTCGTGAAAAGCTAAATTTATTAAAAGAAAAGATCGCTCTTACACGAGATTTAGCCAACAGGGTTTGTTTTTTCTTCGTTTATTGAATTAACTGTCTAAAATGCTTTGATATATTTCTCGAAAGCAATGGATAAGTTCGAATCATTCAATTACAGATCAAATTGGGCGCACATTTCGAAAAAGGAAGCATTTTGGAGTTGCCACTGTCTCCACGAATAACACGTTCTGCGGCATATACTAACATCGAATTTTTCTTCAGAACAACAAACACTAGTGGTATCACGACCGTTACTTTAAAAATATGCTATAAACAAATAATTTCGGAACTAATGTAAAGGAAGATGAGAAGTAGAACTTTATACTGCATTTTAGGTTTGATATTATTCTTTGGTAATGAACTTGGTGTTGCTGGGACTCGTGCTTTGCCAACCGATGACTATGTTGCTATTGAAGTAGAAAAAGGCCATTTGAGGGTAGTTATTAATCTTGGTGACACACCCACGCAATTAATTTCGAATTCGTAAGTTTTTCCAATCGGAGATAAGTCACAAATGATATTAAAAAAATTTGGAAATAATTTGATGTTGTCTCTTTTTTTTGTTTAAAAATAAAAAATAACTGAGAGAAGATTCTCATCCTCATTCTGGAAATCAAATGATTCGACAAATCAAATTTGATGTAATTATCAAATCTGTATGCGACATATGTTATTAGACATAGTTCCGATAGCTTCTTCCATTTTTTAGATCTGTTACTGACGGCAACTGGCGAAAGGTTGCTGTAGATCGTGTTGGTAAAACAATTACACTACGAGTTTCGTCACCAAATTCAGCAAATTATGAGGAGGAAAAAATACAAACTATAGGCGGCTTCAAATCAGTTCTCAATCTCCATCAAAAGAAAAGCCGCTTATTTATTGGTGGTATTGTTCCCGGTGTCAATGTAAGGAATTCTATTAATGTTATAATTGAAGATCGAATTATCATTATGCAAGACAGGTTTTTTTTACAACTAATCCGAGATTTATAGATTTCACCAGATGTACATAATCGTGAGTTCAGTGGTGATATCGAAGATTTACGTATTCACGGCGAAACAGTCGGTCTGTGGAATGCCAAAAAAGGAGGTAATTACAATGTGCAAGGTGTGACGAAAAAAATTTTTGCTGCTTCATCGTTAACCGATGAAATTGGTTCGTTATTATTCATTTTATTCTTGTTGCTATAAAGTATCTGAAATCAAATATAAATTTTCAATCTGTCCATTTCTTTTAATTAAAAATTGACTGATTAGGGAGTTTTTGAAGAATGACATTTACTGATTTTTTCGGAACTTGAGGATATTCAAAGCAGCTATTTTCTGTATACGATTTGGTTTAAAAAGAATATAAGTTATAAATATGATGTTTTGCAGCATTGAGCTTTAATGGCGATGGATACGCTGTCCACAAGCTGAGTATTTGGAATCCACGAAAACAAACAATTTTTTCTTTGACCTTTCAGACATATTCTCCTGATGGACTGTTCTTATACCTTGGAAAGGAAGTACGTATTATGCAGTCAGCAATTTCAAATAATATTTTATTTCTTCCATTAAAAATTCCAATACTAAAATATCTACGTTTCGATGTTTTTTTAGCGCGATTTTCTATCTCTTGAATTACAAGATGGCAGAGTGAAGCTCTCATTTGATTTTGGTTCTGGGGTTGGAAGACTGACAAGTATTGGTAGTAATTATAACGATGGCAAGCCTCATTCCGTGTACGTGCACCGGTTAGAACGTCATGCCCTTATGAAAGTTGATGATAATGATGTTTCGGAAGGTGATTCACCCGGTACAATGTTCGAACTCAGCTTATCTGATGTCTTCTATTTGGGTGGTGTGCCTTCCGATGTTTCGACGTTAGTTAACATCGTTTTTTTTGTTTGTAGCCATAAAATGAAGTGTAGATAATAATGACCTGTTCTTTTAAAATGTTCTCTTAAAGTCATCAAAGTCGTTCACACACTATTTTTGACTCAATTATTTTTGATCTCATTGAAAGAGCTAACAAATTTCAGGATTCTATCTTCCGAATAACCCATCCGTCCAGAAGCTACCACCTGTAGGACAAAATCCACCAGTTAATTTAGTGCTTATTCTCTTTCGCTGAATTCACCTATCCATGGCTCCTTGGCAGACAGCCTATCCCAATTAGCAGCGTTTATCTTTTGTCGTGATTATGATCATAATATCGTAAAATCCTTCCATGCTTTACTCCATTTGCCATTATCATAACTTCGTTGTAATGACCAGCTGCAGGTGGATGATATTCACCAAGTGCAAGTTTTATAATTTGTATAAGAATGCAAATTGATGAGTGATAAGCAATTAACATTGACTTTACAGTTATTACTTCCAGACGCACAACAGTTGTGCCGATGAATGGTTGTATAGAACACGTAAAGTTGGACAATCGCTTAATGGACCTAAGTAAATCAAGAACTGCGAAGGGGGTGCAGCTAGGATGCAGTGCTCGACATGTACGTGTTATATCAATGGTATCGGAACGTTCCACTGCTACTTTCAGTACTTTCAATGCTAAAAAAGATTATCTTGAAATGACATTCCGATTTAAAACAAACCAACCATCCGGTATCCTTGCATCGGTTATCTCTGACGAGCAGGTTGGTTTTTCAAAATGTTTTAAAATCAATAAGAATTTAATCAAAGTACGTATTTTTAGCAGCAGATATTTCATTTGAGATAAATTCTGGTTTACAAATAGTTTATCAGTCAGTAAGAATGAGCCCTAAAATTGCTGAGAAATTGAGACTATAAATTCTGTGATAAGAACAAATATGATAAGGAGTAACGTCATCAATCCACACTATCCGAATGAAAGCTAAAAATATAATGTTCAGGAAGTCTTGTTCCAACTACGTTATCAAGATGGATTTATTTCGGCTGAGTACGGATCTGATAACAAGGATGTTGCTGAAATCGAATTCAGATCAGTCGCTGATGGTCAGTGGCATTACTTTGCAGCCGTAGTAAAACCGGAAACTATACGACTGGATGTGGATGATCTTTATTCAAGTGAAATTCATAGGACTGTTGCTGATAATGAGGTTGTTTGATCTAAGGCTTTCAACTGCTTTCTAAAGTATCAAATGTTTCTTGATTATTTATAGATTTTACTTGTCACAGGTGATCGGGGTACCGATCATTGTGCAGTTTGGTCGATCGCTCGACTCCAACCTACATTTCGAAGGATGCATTGGTGATGCAACATACAATGGTCAATTACTCGATTTTGCTGAAGTGGGTTTCCTGAAAATACAAAAATCAGTTTATAAAGCGGAAAGAATAAAAATGCCCATGCCATTCAATTCCATCTTCCAGTAAAGACTTGAACCTCTTGTGTAATTTTTAAACTCTTCATACAATTTCCTTTCGTAACGAGATTATTGCAGGCATCAACTAAAGGAGTGAGTCTAACAGGATGTTCTTTTCCGGAAGATATCTCGACAACAGATATGCTTCCTGAACAAGCACCAACAAATGAACCTGTGCATTTTGCCATACCTGGAACAAATAATATTCAACCATTGGTAACAGAAACTGCTAAAGAAATCACTGCAGAAAATGTTAGTATTTCGAAGATCATAATCACTTTACATGTAAATTAGTGAATATTTATAAATAACTATTTAAATATATGTTAATTTTTAGAGGATATCAGCGGGAACATCGTCCCTTTCAAAATTAAGAGGAATCGCTCGCAAGTTAGACGAATGCGCACTTCCGAGAAGATCGTACGGAGATAGACCGGACTCCAGTGGTATTCGATTTGGTTTGTCTCCTTCATCACGTCTTGAGTTTGATAAGCCACCTGCTTCGTTTGATAAAAAGTAAGTTAAAATCTTTGGTAAGAAGTAAAAAAATGCTATAAGGTGATTTAATTGTTGCTTATTTGCAAATAATTATTTATCTAAGGATGGAGAAACAAAAAATGTTCTGTTTTGTTTTCTTTTAAGCAAAACTATTCATTAATTCAGAAGTACTAACTTATAAAATATTTTTACCCATTGATGTAATACTTTTCAAATGTGAACAGGCCATAGCGAGCAGGCCCAAGGATTCTGTTTCTAACTTTGTTGCCTTTAAAAATAAATGCAAATTTACAGCAGTCTGTTCTCAGTACAGTTGCGAGCCACAGCATCAAATGGAATAATTATGTTCACGACGAATCATAAGCATACTGATTATTTAGCCTTATATCTTGTCAACGGCATTGTCCATTTCGCTTACAATTCGGGATCAGGACAAGTAATGAACATTCTCATATCATTATTTATTCTTTAAATTTTAACTGATTTTATTTTTTGCTAGCCAATGAAAGTTATTGCAATATGTTTAGGCTATTCTAAAATCAAATAGAACTGTGATGGATGATGAATGGCACAGTATAAGAGCGGAACGTGAAGGCCTTGCGGGAACGTTATATATCGACAACTTAATGGAAGCAAATGGACAGTCTCCTCCTGGAACCGATGCAGTTGATACTCAACCACCAATCTATATTGGTGGACTCCCATCAGATCTTGTGCCTTTTGCATCCAGAATATTACTAGTATGTTTTTATTCTGAATTTAAGTAATTATAAGGAAGTAGTAAAATTCCGTTCTGCTTTCGATAAAATTATTGTGCTAGTTAATGACACTTATTACAAGTTATTACGATGATTAAAGGGTGCTAAATCGGTTTTTGGTGGATGTTTGAGAGATTTCAAACTTAACGAAATGAAGTTTGATGTACCACCAGCAGAGATTGGTACAGTGCCATGCAATCAATACACTGAAGAAGGATTATATTTTGGAGAGAATGGTGGCTACGCTATATTAAACAAAAATCTGAAGGTATGGGATTTGGATGAATGACAATATAAATTAAATCAAAAATATCAGTATTGAAATATGGAGCGTTGAAATAATATTCGTGATTGTCATTTAAATAAAATAAATGTCATGAAAACGAAACATGAATAAGTTGGGCAAAATTTATAAATTTTCAAGTAAAACATGAAATCAATGAATCTGAACAATAAATAATGGTATACCACGATACAGCAATACTTTTGAGGTTGGGTCATCGTTCAATATTGAGCTAGAAGTACGACCGCGAACAAAAACTGCCGTTTTATTATCAGTTGGTATTCTGGAATATTTAACACTTCAATTCTTCAATGGCACTGTTAAATTCACAGTGGATAATGGTGCAGGTCCCGAAACGGTAACACACGTACCAAGCATGTCCAATGCTCTCTGCGACGGGCACTGGCACCACATAAAGGTTGGTAACACCTTTGACTGAGAGATAAAACGTTTCTGAATGCTGCTGTCATCTGAAACAGGAGAGGTAAGAAACCAATTTTACTGATAACAGTACCGCCAAATAGATCATAATACGAATTATGATAAATTGTTCATTTATTTATTATATTCAGCTTTACAAAACGAAGAATCTGATGACTTTGACTGTCGATGGCAGAAGTAATTTAAACATAATGAAGAAAGGTAAAAAAACGGATACAAATACGAAGGATCCACTATATTTGGGTGGCGTTCCAAAAGGTATCAGATCGAGAGGCCTCGAAACAACAGGTTAGTTTTACACAGAATTTAGCATGAACGCCTTCTCATACATAACATCGTTTTGTTTTTAGAGGGATTTCTGGGCTGTGTTCGTGTTTTGAATATGGGAAAGAAGCCGCGGAAACGAAAAAACGTTGACTTATCACAAGTGTCTCTATTTGGTGATATTACGAGGAATTCTTGCCCCATTAATTGAAACCAAATCAGTAATGCTCTAACGCTTAATTCTACATTTTCAAGTAAAATTACATTCATTGCACCTAATGCTTTACCTGAACATAAGATGTGGGCAAATCTGCTGCACGGAATACAAAGGAAAAATGTTAAAAACGAAAAAACTTAAGATTGAAATTTCTTAAAATCTATGAAATTATGATTGGATGTATGCCTAATGAATAATAGCCACACTTACTTACTTGACAACTTCTTTTTTGAAATGGCGTAAAAAATCTTTCGACTGAACAGAATTGGAAGAAATTCCAGAATTCATTTATTTAAATATTTCAACTGACTTTATCTGCTGAATAGTATACTCTTCGGAACATATAACAGATATGAACATGGCAAGCCGTAACATAGCTCGAGAAAGAAACATTTCGGAGTTCCTTCTAAAATCCAATCTAATAATTAGTGATGACAGGACATTCATTTTCCATTTCTTTTGTTGATACCTGTCAAAATATAGTGAAATATGAATTTTAGTATTGCGTACGTACACGAATGGAGATGACGGACCTTTGATATTGTTATGTAAACCACTGTTCGATTTACTACGAACAAACTTTTGTTAATTCAAACTCTATTTTCACTTTATTTTATTTCCTGAGTTCCCCTTGAATCTTTGCATTTGTACTTGTTTCATTCATCAACAATCTTCCATTTTGTGTTGGCTACAAAGTACTGAGCCGTAAGAAAAATTCATTGCAACCATTCTAGACCGTATGCGCTTAGTATTATTAAGTGAATCACAGTTTGCATATTTCAAATTTGAGGAATCTAGCATCAACAGACCAGACATACTTCCATAAATGAGTGAGAGAAACGAGCTGCTCTGTTGTCCTCATTTAATCACCTGACGAATATCGAACCTCTGAAAAATCATACTTCTCAAATAAAATGAGGAAAAACGTAAATAGAAAAAGAATTAATCGAAAGAAAGGGAGTTCATCGAAATCAAGCATGATTGCACAGGGATGTTCAACGGCAATTTGCTTATAAATTTTGTGAACAATTTATCCATTTTCATCATTTATGAATACCGTTCCTTCAAAATTATTACCAATGATTTTTCATTAGAGATCGACCATGTTCGGCTTTGTTATTTTCATGTGGCTTTTGTCACTAAAATCTTACTGAGAAATTGATCAAAAGTCATAGGCACTATTAATAATTTAGCTGTTTAATCATTAAGGGAACACTTCATTAAAAGTTGACAAACGATTTTCATTGGAAGCATAATATGGACAATATGACTTGCGGAGATTCCCGGATTTCTATGACTGCGGCTTACTCGTCAATTGGGCCAGGTGTTTTCATAGATCCAATAATTACTGGTACAATAACATCAAAACTATGCATATCTAGACGGAAGAAATAACTAATTGTAATAAGGCCATTCGCTTTGATTGATGTTGGCTGTAAACCAGTAGGTATCTGGAAATCAATGTGCCTTGTTTCTGGATCGATACCTGATATCACTTTACATGTTCTCTGAAATACCACAAAATAATCATTTTTACGAGTTAACTAGGGTTTATTATGAAATATGAATTTTTTGGAAATATTTGGTAAATGTATTCGTTCAGAAATATAAAACAGTATTACCATGGATTCGACAGCAATTGTCAATGATTTTCTATCAAATAAATGAAGTTCATAACGATTTTGCGATAAAAAATCAAGTTGTTGACATAATGAGAGCAGCACATAATCATTTCGACTCTTTCGCGATTTCTTTCGCTTCCTTTTAGCACCATCCTCTATTACCAGTGTAATTTTGACTGTTTCACCTGAATTTTTCCATTAACTTGAATTATATTTTAATATTTTCTAAAAATACGTCTAAATTTTTAGATATCCAAAATTTAAATGCGTAATAATTTAAATACAGTTCAAATAAACTTAAATTCATCAATTTAATAAAAAGGTTTAATGCAAAATCACACTAGTTCACGATTAAGTTTACAAGAAATTATTACAGTCTTAAATACAGTTCTACCGGGTAGAAGCCCCATGTCGGAAATAGTTAATTGAGCAGATTCAACGCCGATTTTACGATTACAGCAACATCCGCGTACTTCGTTTTCTTCCTTACTTGTAACTGGTTGTCGCATGTACGGTGCATCGAGATTGAGTAAAGAGAAGACGGTAAAGTTATGCTCTGAAGTGTTCCATTAAAACTATTTATAGCTTAAAACTATATTTTCCATTACTGTTTTTACTAAAAACAGCACATTTTTGAAGCATATCATGGAATTCACTCTCTCCTTTCATGAAGTACTGTAATCATTCAGAATTATTTTCTAGCAGGATATTCCAACTATTGATGTAATTTACATATTAGGCTAAGCAATCCGAATTTCAAAAATAAAGAAAGAACCGGCAAAAATCTCCCTAGCATCCTTATCAAGCACATCGAGAGTTGCTGAACACGTATAACGAACCCAACCATAGTTTTTTTTTTCAATCGATGATATCACATCCAGTGGCAGCTAAAATTTGAAACACACGATGCAAGTATTGTATATATGTTCCAAATCAACTTCAGATATCTCTGATTTTGCAAATTTTATCATTATCAAATGCATTTTTAGGCTTTTTTTCTAACTCATTCCAAACATTAAATTTATTAAATCTATTTGAATCCATTTTTAGATATTGAATTAGTTGGTAATCAATATTCAATTATTATTTCATATGTATGAATGTGCATACCAGTATCGAGACAGAAAAAATCATGCTTACTGGAATATGAAAGCATATTTGATGAAGGCCTTCTTCCAAATTAAAATTTTCATCGCAAAAATCAGTGAGCACTCTGCAAACTGTCCCAGTCTACATTACACTAAATTGCGGTGCTTCTCCCACAATAAAAGCTTATGTACAGTTTTCTACACAAACAAGTAATTATAAATGTGACGCTTAGGCTTATAATAATTTGAACACTCCGATCTTAATCGGCTTTCGTTCCAACTTGCTTAAGACTCAAGAACATATTCCATCTTTTCTGTTTGCAATAAGATATCGGGGTTCGATTCCACAACAGATTGTTTAATAACTATCGAAGATGTTATCAATAATTTCAGTAGTCAAAATAAATTTCTATCACAAAAGAAATATCTAGCCAGTTAATCAAATTCCGAAACGAACCTTGTCAAATCGATATATTCATTGAGCACTTGCTCGTTACTTTCATACAAAACTTCACTATTCTTATTTTTCCAGCCAGTTTGTGCTTGTCCAATCAATTTTACAATTAATCGCCCTACTTTAACTTTTTCCAAAACACTTATTTCCACATGTCCCTGAAATTCACCTTCTTAACACTTCTGCCACTTTTTCGAATTCCACGAATTATAAACTCCTTCGTCAAATTTGTTTTGATTTTGTCTTGATTATAATATGTAATAAACTACGTATAATAAGATCTTGAGAACTGTTAGAGCCAAACATGAAAATAAGATGGAAATATAATGACAGTAAAAGCGAACCTGAACGGCCTCACCACCGGTGTAGGGCTTCTCAGATTGCTTGCTGAGCAAAACATCAAAATGTTCGATTTTCATGATATATCATCATCCGCTGAACATGCCCTAATCCCAAAAACATTCCACTCTTATATGCCCAATCTCCTCGAAACTCCCTACCCTCCAATACCTATTTTTTCTGCAAATAAATTCAATCTTCATTATGAAAGCATAGTAAAAACATGTTTCTCGAAAAATAAAGGCATAAGCATGTAAATCTATCGACAGCAATCAACGCAAAATAAAAATGCCACAGTCGATTCATTTGTAAAGAAAGCATGCAAATGACTGAGTGCTTTGCTAATCTACACTTATTTATTGCTTGGCTTTATAACATCGGCAAGCACTTCGTTTTTTAAAGCATTTTTATACTATGTCACGTGTTACCTAATCGGTATGCTGAAACAACTCTCCATGGCTAGCTTATTGTTTAGCCATGATCTCCATGATGATCCACTAAAGCTGTTTCAATAACGTAGATATGTTAAATTATATTCGATGTCGAGACTTGAAGAAATTTTACATCAATTTCAAAATGCAATAACATAAGCTTGATTCTGCTCTTTTTTTTTAATCAGACATTTTTTTAGCCTCGAGATGGCTACAGGCTGGTAGAAAGTGAAAATTAAGTTCTAATACATCATTTGTTATATCCAAAGAGTTACATCCCCTAAGTAACATTCTGAGGCCAAAGAGTATTTGTATGTAAATATAATGATTTACAGATTTCAAACATGTCTTTCTGGATAAAAATAATTCAAGGAAAAAATTTGCTCCAAAAAAATATTGAATTTGATTCAAAATGCGATGTTCTATAATATGTTTCAACAGAGCTGCTTAAAGCCAAAGTCACTTTAGATGAGATGTAACAGCTTAATTGATGCCTTGAAAAAATGTCTTTTGGAAAACAATTTTCCTGATGTGTCTTGATTAATGAACAAAATTAAAACCTAAATAGCAAGCAAAATCGTCATAGCATTCCCAAACCATTCATTCTTTAAATCCTACAAACTACTTCGAGAAACCATAAAGATATTTCATTAATTTAATTATAACAGCAAAAATCAAAATGTTAACCAATTGGTAATGTGCGAGCTGAGAGCAGAAAGAGAATGTTCAATATTGTAAATGCAAATGATTCAAGGAACAAATTAATCTCACTGACATTCTCTTTTATCCATTAAAAAAGTGAAATTATCATTTCAAATTTCAGAAGTTTGATGGAGGAAAGATCAAAAAGTAATTCGGTTCTAATAATAAAATAAGATGTGATATATTTGAGCTTATTTTTGAAGACTAAAAATAGCGACAATTGAAAGAGGAAGAATAGTAAAAAGGAAAAATTGAAATAATTAAAATATTGTAAGTCAAACAGCGAAATGAAAGACAATGTTAAGAAATTGACAAGCATACCACGTCATATCAAATCTTTAATTAGTTCTAAATTAAC